AAGAAAGAACCCTAACTAGTCTAAGAAAGAATGTGCTTCTTTTTAAAAAATAGTCATAGGTCCCACCAGCAATGTATGAGTGTGCCTTTTCCCCCACATCCTCGCTAACACTTATTGTTGTTTGTATTCTTGATAGTTGCCACTCTGACTGGAGTGAGATGAAATCTTAGAGTAGTTTTGAGTTGCATTTCTCTAATTGCTAGAGATGTTGAGCATTTTTTCATATATTTGTTGACTGATTGTATATCTTCTTCTGAGAAGTGTCTGTTCAGTTCCTTGGCCCATTTATTGATTGGGTTATTTGTTTATTTGGTGTTAAGACTTTTGAGTTCTTTATATATTCTAGAGATTAGTGCTGTATCTGACGTGTGTGTGGTAAGAATTTGTTCCCAATTAGTAGGCTCTCTGTTCACCTCACTGATTGTTTCTTTTGCTGAGAAGAAGCTTTTTAGTTTGAATCCATCCCACTTATTGATTCTTGATATTAATCCTTGTGCTATAGGAGTTTTATTAAGGAAGTTGGGGCCTAATCTGATATCATGGAGATGAGGGCCTACTTTTCTTCTAATAGACACAGTGTCTCTGGTTTGATTCCTAGGTCCTTGATCCACTTTGAGTTGAGTTTTGTGCATGGTGAGAGATAGGGGTTTAATTTCATTTTGTTTCATATGGATTTCTGATTGTCCCAGCACCATTTGTTGAAGAGGCTATCTTTTCTTCAATGTACATTTTTGGCGCCTTTGTCAAATATAAGACAACTGTAATTATGTGGGTTAGTCTCTGTGTCCTCTATTCTGTACCATTGATCTAAAAGTCTATTTTGGTGCCAATACCATGCTGTTTTTGTTGCTATTGCTCTGTAGTATAGTTTAAGGTCTGGTATAGTGATGCCACTTGCTTCACTCATTTTGCTAAGGATTTCTTTAGCTATTCTGGATCTCTTATTTTTCCAGATGAACTTCATGACTGCTTTTTCTATTTCTATGAGGAATGTGATTGGGATTTTGACTCGAATTGGATTAAATCTGTATAATGCTTTTGGTAATATGGTCATTTTGACAATATTAATTCTGCCTATCCAAGAACAAGGGAGATCTTTCCATCTTCTAAGGTCTTCTTTATTCTTTAGCATTCTGTAGTTTTTGTTGTAGAAATTTTCACCTCTCTTGTTAAGTTGATTCCCAAGTACTTTATTCTTTTGGTGTAGCCAATATGGAAAGCTGTATGGAGAATCCTTGGAAAACTGGTAATGGAACCACCATTTGACCCAGCTATCCCATTCCTCGGTCTATACCCAAAGGACTTAAAAACCAGCATACTACACGGACACAGCCACATCAATGTTTATAGCAGCACAATTCACAATAGCTAAATTTTGGAACCAACCTAGATGCCCTTCAATAGATGAATGGATAAAGCACATGTGACACACACACACACACACACACACACACACACACACACACATATATATATATATATATATATATATATATATTTAAAATGGAATATTATTTAGCATTAAAAGAGAATAAAATCATGACATTTGCGGGTAAATGGATGGAGCTGGAGAATATAATGCTAAGTGAAATTAGCTAGTCCAAAAAACCAAATGCTGTATGAGTTCTCTGATTTAAGAATGCTGATTCATAATATGTTTCTGGGGGGCAGGGAGATGGGAGGATTAAATGAATTCTAGGTAGGGCAAAGGGGAAAAGGGGAGGGTGGGGAGGGGAGGGGGCCTAAGGGTAGGAAAAATGGTGGAATGCAATGGTCATCATTACCCTAAGTATACGTATGAAGACACGAAGGATGTGACTCTACTTTATGTACAAGCAGAGATGTGAAAAATTGTGCTCTGAATGTGTAATATGAATTGTGATGCATTCTGTTGTCATATATAACAAATTTAAATTTAAAAAGAAATATATATTAAGACTAAAAACAAATAGTCATAGGTCCTAATAAGCTTTTAAGTAATTGGTTTCATCATTTTGCCTTCAAAGACTTTTATGAGCATACTTTAATTTTTATATGGCTTATTTTTAAACTAGTTTAAGAGTACAGTTGACTGACAATAGCTGTGGGTTCTGCATCATTGGATTCAACCAACCATTGATTGAGAATCTTCTAAAAATACATCTGTGTGAACCCATACAGACTTTTCCTTCTCATTATTCTCTAAATAGCACAGTGCAACAGTTTACATAGCACTCAGTTTACATAGCACCCACATTGTATTAGCTATTATAATCTAGAGATGATTTTAAGTACATAGGAGGACATCTACAGGTTCCATGCAAATACTATAACTGTTTTATATGAGGAATTGGAGTGTCTCAGATTTTGGTATGTGTAGGGTTCCTCAACCAATTCCCTTGAGGATAACAAGGGAGAACCATAGTTGTCAGCTAACATACCTTGCTACTTTCCTTCTAGACAGCTCAGAAGTTCCCTCAGAAAAGTATGGGAAACATTCATCAAGCCTCTCAACCTGAGACACTAGACTGGGGAGTTCTAAGTTCATCAGAGTTTTTCTGATTAATGATGGTGGAGATAGTTTTGTTACAAACTTGGACTACTTTGGTGTCTTACTGAAGTGATAAAAATCAAGGTCCAAATTTTATAATTTGGGGCAGAATCCTTGTTGGCAATGCAAAGAAGTACCTGGAGGCCTCTCTTAGGGTCTATCCCTCCCCTTCATGGACTGTTGATTTTAACAAGTACCCCTGTGATGCTGGGGACTGGATGCATCCAGAAAGTACAGTCTCATGAAAGCTGCTTTGTTGGATCTGGCTGCCGGGGCAGGAGTGAAATGTTAACTTTCTAAACTTGCTTTCCTAGATCTTTCCAAAAGAGCAAAACAATGGTGTAATTTCTCAGGGCTGTGCTAGACAAAAGATACTAGTGTTTTTCCTTGGCAAGGGGAGGGGAGAGGAAAGAACGCTGAGATTCTAATCCCAGGTTTGGAGCATCTCAGGAGATCCCAAAGAACACTTGTCTTTTATGACAGAGCATTTCCCAAGCATCCCTTTGGGAAGCCTCAGCCCCTGATTGTCTGGGAAGCATAAACTCACTCACTTTTGGCAAAGCTCAACACACCGGAGCATGGGAAACACAGATTAAAATGGAGATGCTTCTTACTCTCCAGCTTGTCTGGTTATACATTTGCTTGGCATAAAAATAGAATCACTAAAAAAGGGAACACCCGAGGGAAAGTGGTTCCGCTCGCTCATAGTGAGGGCCAGAGGAAACCCCCTCAGTCTCGTGAAGGTTAAGCATCTTCATCCTTTCAGCTCAAATTAAAGAAATCATATAAAATAAGTTTAAAACCCTCAGGACTGCGTAATCTAAAGTTACTTGTCTTATTTTGCTCGCAGGGGTTTTCTGTGGTTCTGTGGTGGAGCACTCCCTGATGCACTGGACAGATGCTGCTTTGGTCAGAGTGGGAAAAAAACTTTCCTTTGTGGCTGCTTAGCCTGGCTGAAGGAGCACAGCCTCCCCTACCAAGTGGCTCACATCTCTTGTCAAAGGCAGTTCACCCATGTCCATCAAGTTTGAAATACAGTGATTGTCATCTAATCTGTTTCTGTGGAACTCTTTCTCTTCTGCTACTGGGAGTTCTAAGAGACAAGTTGACCCATCGCTACGGATGTCATTATGTTCAATTGTAACATCTGGAATAAAACCAATAAATAGCTATTTGTTCCGATCTATAGTCTGGGGATGCCTATCTCTAAAGAGGCCGGCACCTCTTTGCTTGGGATTGGGGGTCCTCATCCTATACTTCTGGTGAGTGTTTTTAAGCTCCATCCATGAGGAGGAATCTCCTGGGCTGAGGGGTCTCTGTGGTGGTGGATCCTGAAACCACCATTCAAACCACAAGCCACACCTGATGTGCTACATCACAGGTGTGAAAACCAGCGGGGGGGTCAGCACTGTCACTGGACTCCCAACTCTGATCTTAGGAGCACAAATATCAGTATGCAATTCAGGAGAGGAAACTTTAATAGATTTGCTTTTCAAAGAATCTGGTGTCTTTAGTGGGCATCAGGGATGACAGACTTCCTTACTTGGTTCTCAAAACGGCACTAAAAACTGTAGTAGAAAGCAGTAAGCATCAAAGAGGGTGTGGGAGAATGAATCACAGCAAGGACATTATTACAACCGTGTTCAGCTCACCTCCAATAATGTTAGGAACGAGAGCTGACATTTATTGAGCACCGGCTCTGTGTCAGGTACCGCTCTAAGTATCTGACAGGTACATGTAATCCAACTCTAAGGACCCTCCTCTGGGCATTTTTGTGGATGCTCAAGAGTTAAGTGTATTTGGTAGGCATAGACTTACCTTCTTGAAAAAGACAAGAAAATGAATTGTGCTACCTTGAGAAAACCTGGAGAGTGTCTCTTCAGTGGTCGCAATATTCTTTTCTGTTCCCTGAATGTTGAAGGATTTGGTGAAACGAATCCTCTAATACAAAAAACTGCCCTTATCTCAAAACAAAACAATCCTAGTATACAGGTAAGATCAGTGGAATGTGAATTGCTCAGATCCAATCTGCAAACAATTGATATCTCCGACAATAACATTTCTGAAATTTACTTCTAATAACCATTTTTCAAAAGAGAGATGGCTTCTGTAGCAAAGTCTACTAATGCTGGCCCAGATGTCTGAGGTCAAAGAGAATTAGGGTAAGTTGAGGCTCATTGGATGGTGACAGAGATCCCCTGTCCTCTTTAAAGTGCCCTCCCCAAACCAGTGAGTATACCACAGGAAGTAGTATGAGAGCAACAAGAATCAGCACATACATTAGTGAGGTTTGATTCATGTAAACAGCTTCAGTGGGAGAAGATGGCTGTTTTGGATCATGTTCATGTCTATAAAGCTCAAGAAAACTGAATGCAATCTGCTATGCACTGAGCATTCTTGACCACTTTCTGCTGTATATTGTTTTGGTAAAGAGAAATAAATGCATGCTTGGAGTCAGGCATGGGCTTACCCAATGAAGGTCATAATCAGATGGCCTAGCTCTTCCTTCTTCGTCTTCATATAGTGGGAAGCCTTCCCTCCGAGCCTGATAATACTCCTTCCGCAGCTTCTGGATTCGGTCAGTGCTCCCACCCATGGGACGGCCACTATAGCACAAAGACAAACAGAGTCACACAGTCACATCATCCTTGAAAGTCACTTTTTGTTCTTCTTATTAAAGGGGATGGGATCCAAATTGGAAAGATTGGATAATGTAATTCAAATATGCTAGGAGAATGGTGAAATAAGTAATATAAATGAACACAAAATGGCCCTTGCATGCATACCTTTAGCTCCAAGGGTCAAAATATCTGACTTGGCATTAATAAATGCCTTTGGAATGAGAAGGTAAGACAAAGTCTTGACCTTTCAGAGCAATTAAAGAAACTCAACCCTTTCTTCTTATAATCATACACACAAGAATTTGGTTAAATTTCAACATGGGTATCTCATTTTCTCAAATAAGCATTGTCTATTTGGGACAAAGTTCTGGTTGTGTGACCTGAAGGCTGGATATCATGTGGGGCTGGCATGTGCCACTGTTCATTTCAATAGACGTGGGAATTTTGGGAATGGGGGTGGTTGATGGTGGGATACACGTCAATAGATGAATACCAGTCAGGGCACAGGTAAAGAAAATAAAAGCCATGCCAAAAAATTAAAAGAAAGGGTAGTGGGGTTGGGTGACAGCTGAATGGCACCTGTCCAACGTTCTCCTCTTTACCTTAGCCACTATTTCCTCCCAGGACTCACCGCTGTCCAGTACCTCATCACCCGACCTGCCCCTCCACATCCTCCCATCCACACATCAAATGATACATGCTCTCTTCCCTGTCTCATTTAGAAAGCAAATTAGAATAAAAGTGAGTAATGGCACTGGTGATTTAGTGTAGAGATATTTAGAATATATACTAATAAAAATGACCAAAGTACGACTGGCAAATCTGGGTACTTTAACTCAATTGCAAAAAAACACGCCTGTTTCACAGGCAGGTGAGGATCACTGCTCCAGCTGGGGAAGAGCCAGGGTAAGAAGATCAGAGGAAGCTTTGCGCAGGGCCCAGTGTGAGGAGCCTTGCATGCCAGAAAGTTCCCTGAATATTACAGTTGAGTTTTAAATTTAAATGAGGCCTCTGATAAAAAAATAAGATCTCTAAAAGCATTAGAAAGTAGTCATCTATTTTGTTGAAGTATTTTAAAATTATGCATACAAAATTCTTTAAAGTATTTATTTTTTAGTTGTAGTTGGACACAATACCTTTATTTTATTTATTTACATGTGGTGCTGAGGATGGAACCCAGGGCCTCACACGTGCCAGGCAGGCACTCTACCACTGAGCCACAACCCCAGCCCAGCATACAAATTTAAAAAAGGGAAATGGGAGTAACAGGTTTTGGAGGGAAAGCATTTTTTGGAGCTAGATGGCAAATTGAGGGAGGCATGACCCTCTCTGGTGCGGGCTTGGGGCTCTTCTGTGCTCCATAGATACTCTTCAGCCCATGTTTTGATTAAGAAACAACAAATCCTTAGGAATCACACCCTTTTAATTTTCTTCAATATGTATTCTAAAATTCTCGAAATAGTTCTAATTTTCTTTCTTTACTACACCTTTCTTAAATAAAAGTTTTCTTTGTGCAGTTGAAAGAGATAACAATAGACACAAGAAGGCCTGCTTAGCTTCTCTGAAGCACAGGTAGGCAGGAAAGGTAGCACCATCTATTCTGAACTGCTTCCTTTGCTCCGGAGTAACATGAGATGACTGTGGTGGCTGGATCCCATGCACAAGCTCCTGCCAGTTACAGGAACGCACAAGCTGCGTTCAAACTCACCAGATGAGTTCAATCAACGCGGTGCAAACATGGCATACATAATCTATTAGTTTACCCTGAAGAAACTGAAGCACTGAATTCAAGTAGAATGAAGTCATCAGTAATAAAGAAAAAAAGAGAGAAAATGATAAGGCTGCGTTCAAAAAGAAAACACCAAACACCACAATTTTCCTCCATTTGTGGTGGTGGGGAAATCAAACAAGGACTGTAAACTATTCTTCCATATGCCTATAAATACGTTAATTTAAAAATATGGGTTTGATCAGCTTGCTGTTCTCATGTAAGGGAATGAGGGAAGAATATAAAATCAGCTGTTCAGGATTTGAAAAGTCCCCTGATGGTTGACAGGAACATGACTATTTACCCAGAAGAGAAATCTCACTGCAGTGAAAAGACAGGACAAAGTCTTGGAGCTTCTTAGAGCAAAACATGCTGCAGATTTTTCCTAGTGTGACTATTTTTAAAGACAATATGGAATGCTGTGCAAATGTCTTATGATAATGTGAGACTACACCTCAAGATCACTTCTTCTTTTTACCTTTCAAAAACATTCTACCTTTAGTAACTATATCAGATTTTTTTTTCCTAAGGAGACATTTTATACACTAAAATTTGGAATACCAAATTCTGATTTCACTTTTCGGTTCTTTTCAATGGATGAAACACATAAAAGTCTACCAAAAAATTAATAAAAATTCCATATACCATTATTTATAGTCAAAGTCATTAATTGATTTCATTTTTTGTTGAAGATGTAGAAATTTAGCCATTTGATGCAGGATATAAAAATGTCTTGTGATAACAGCAGTGATCATCATAATAGTTTACAATTTATAGAACACTTACATAGCAAATATATTGATACAAACTTTTACTTACTCAGTTTTCTGCCCAGAGAAAGACATCACTGATCAATTACAGATTCTTTCCCAATAATCCTAGATTTTGTCTCAGAATCCTTCTTAACCCAGAACTTCAGAGAACCACTACAAACTATAGGAGCTGGTACTTGAGGTGAATTTATTTTCAGTGCCTGTGTAATAGGCACCATAATATCTCAAAGTCTTCAAAGAATATTGAATAATAGCTTTTATTGTTCTGCTAAATGAAGACTGAGGATATGAAGCTCATGGCTAAAAGACAATTATCAAGGTTGGTCTGACTACAAAGTCTCTTCTTTCCAGGATAACTTACTACCATCTAAGCTGCTTCTCTTCCTCCATTGTATTTATATCTTAGAGATGGGGTCCTCTAGCAACAAATGGAACCAGCATGCATATCAAAGTTAGCCTAGAGCTCTTACTTTCTGAGGAGCTGGATTTTTCTTCTCTATGTTTGTTCCATCTGTTCTATTTTCCTGGCTTTATGGAACTAAGAAGTATAGATTCTAGGGAACCTTTTGTCTGATAGCTTCAGAAGTGATATCAGATTATGATGTAACTTGAATACTCTTGGGACCACATAAAATATGTCAAAGTAGAAATAACTCTATCTCCTTGTTGGTAGTTAGGAAATTAGGCTTTCTGTATTATGTGTTCACTGGGCATTCTTACAAAAATATTCCTAGTATAGCTCTGTCTATTGAAGGCGATCAATGCTAGTCATATACTTTCAATATGCAGAATTTTTTTGTCAAGTTAATTTAAGCAATATAACAAAACAGATTTATATTGCAGTGATTTCTTGTGAATCACACAGCCTATGCCTTTAGAGGCAGAGGTATAGTCCCTTCTATAACACCACGGAGCTGAACAGAGGTTACAGTTGTAGTGAATTTCAGAAACCACATCATAGCCACCTACAGGTATGACCAACTGGCCCCCACTCGTAAACTTCACATTAAGGCTTTATCTGCTTCCTTGGAATCCAACTTTATTCTTTCTAGTTTATAATTCTCTCAATTGTAGTACATTTTCAAATGAGTGTACATTTGTGCACACCCTAGTCTCCTCTAGTTGCTGCTGTAGACTGGAGAAAATAAACTAACATTTACCGAGCTTCCATGATTTCCTAGGTATAATATTTGTGCTCTACATACTTCATCTCATTTACTCCTCTGTCAAAGCTGCGAGCATGACATTGTTGTTGACATTTTACCATCACCAAGGCTCAGAGAAGTAACAAAACTGGTGAACAGGGGAGCAGGATTCAAGCCAGCCCTGTTTCTACCCTCTCATGTTGCCTTGTACAAAAGGCATTAAAATGCAGTAGGCATCTTGCAGCCTCAGTTCAAGGCATTTCAAGGCAGAGGGAATTTAGCAGAGCACATTTATAGCCATGCCTTTTGATATTCTTTTATTTGCACAGATCTTTGCAATAAAAATAGAAATTGAAGTAGCTAAAGTAATAGAAATACAAACAATGAGGCCTTTATTCATTAAAGAATGATATTGGAGCATTTGCAGACTGACATTTCTGGGCAATTAATACTGTATCTCTGAAGAGCTTATGAGGGAAGCTGGTGTAAAACAGGGGTGCAAAAGAGAATCAACATATGACAAAGATCTCACATGGAAGACAAAGAGAACAGCAGTCAGGGCAACTGCTGGGAAAGTTCATTCACAACTGAGTGAGAGGGAGCTGGTCACTACAACCAACCATTGACCACTGCTGGACTTGTGAGTTACCTGTGATACCTTTGTGTGCACATGTAAGTGGGCATGTTCATCAATACGTAGACTCTTATGCTGATTCATTTGTATATAATTAATTCCAAACAGCTGTTTTCAGATAGACTCAAGATATGTAACTCATTCTGAAGGGAAGATGTTTGCTTTTGGTGAGCATACTCTTCATTTTAAGTACAAGCCTGGTATGTCAGTGAGCTTTTCATCCCTGTGAACAAAACACTTGAGAACAACAACTTAGAGGAAGAAAAGTTAATGTTAGCCCATGATTTCAGAGGTGCAGCCCATAGTTGGCCAACTCCATTGCTCTAGACCTGAGGAGAGGAATAATAACTTAGCAGAAGGGCATGTTGTAGGAAGATACTCAGTTCACAGAAGCTGGGAAGCAGAAAGAGAGCCAGAAGCTAGGGACAAGATATAATTCAAGGCCACTTCTCAGCTGTGGCCCACCTGCCTATGGTTACCACTAAGGAGTCCATTCAAATTAACCATTCATTGAATCAAATGTATGAAAGATGATATGTCATGAGCTTTGTAATGTTTTGAACAACCAATAAAAAAAAACAACAAAAACAACAAAAAACCCCCCAAATTATCCATTCATTAAATGTTTTAATCCATTGATGAGTTTATAGCTTTCCTAATCTAAT